TTAAATACTTAATAAATAATCTAATTGAACAAAATAATAATTAGTAAACCCAATTAAACCAAATAAGACACACATAAAATAAGACACACATAAAATAATTAAACCAATTACACTTAAACCATTAATGCCAATTAAATAATTAAAATACTAACAAGTAATTCCAATCAAATAACTAAACCAATTACACTTAAACCATTAATGCCAATTAAATAATTAAAACACTAACAAGTAATTCCAATCAAATAACTAAAAATAAATATCATTTAAATAAATTAAATCACCACAAAAGAAAACAATTAAGCACCTAATAAAAAAAAATAATGACACATAATCAAATAAAATGCACTTAAATAATAAATTAAATACCATTAAATACCAGGAATATCCTTCTTAAAATTAGGGGTATTACAGTGTTGCTCATGGGTTGAGTCAAGAAGCAACAGAGGAAGAAAAACAGTGAACAGAGGAAGAAGGAACGATCTTAGGATTCGCCAGAATTTAGAGACGATGTGAAAGGTTTCATGCCGAAACCTTAAAGGCAAGTTTAAGTCTATTTCTTTACTATAAACTTGTGTTCTGTGCATTCTTTATAGACTCCAGGGTTTAATTCAACTCTTAAAACGGATGGTTGATGCATGTTTCACCGGACTGTAACTTGCCTTATGTTTATTTAAACTGAAAACGGTTTCTTGCTTAAACTGGTCTGTGTTTGTTTTAAACTTCTGTAAATCAATTAAAATTTTAAAATTGAGGTGTTCTAGGACTGTTGAGACTTATCTTGAACCTTAATAACTTTAAGGAAACTTTGGAACAGAGGTTAGAACTTTACCGGAATCAAGGAAGACGAACAGAGGCAACATAAACTGTTTTTGGTTTTGGTTTAGATTTTTGTTGATTAATTCATACTGGAAGAAGAGGAGTTTCTAGGACAATAAGAACTTAAATTGAACCCTAGGTATGTTAAAAATATTTTGGACAGGGATGTTGAACTTCGCCGGAAGCACAGAAGATCACCGGACGAAGTAGAGGGGGCTCTCAGGGGGAGAGCCGGCTCCCTAAGTGTGGGAGCCGGCTCCCATGAAGAGAGAGCTGGCTCTCCATGGGGGAGAGCCGGCTATGGAAGTGTTAGAGCCGGCTCCCATGGTGGGGGAGCCGGCTCCCTTGAATAAAACCCCTACGGGGTGTTTTCGGGTAAGTTTCTGAGTTAAGGGGTTTAAATGGCATTTTTGAAAATTATTGTGGGGTTTTAAATATTTAAAATTAACGTGATACAACCCTAAAATAGTTGGTTTATGCTAGGGTGCTAATCCTAAGGGGCGTCATGAAACCTAATCATATAATGCGCATGCTGTCCGAGAGGAAGGAGGATTGAGTTGCTTTTTGTTTTAGCAAATTAAATGAATTGATATAAAAGGGATTTTTAGGATTTTATATCAGTGATATCTAAGATATACTTAAGTCTCAGGAATGTTGGTTAGGTTGTGGTTATGGGCAGCATGAAATCTATACACGAATTGGCATGCTGTCAGGGATTTAGGAGGATTTAATTGTTAGTCTTGTTGTATTAATTCATGTGAACTAGTATGGAAGGATTGGTTGGAATTTCTAGTATAATGTTGCTCAGTTTATAATTCTGATAATCATTATATCATGCTATGAATGGTAATTGCTGAACTGTTATAAATTCTTGTTCTGTCAATTATATGGAGATGGATGGATTCAATTGTTTATTGTTTTAACAATTTCAAAAGGAGTTTTCATTATAAATATAGTCATATACTGGATGCATAATAGGATCTTGTCTATAATTGATTTCTATTATGTTTGGTTTTGGATGGATGGATGTTTGAGTGATTCTGCATTGTACATGAATCATATGCATTATTTGTACCGGTATGGGACGGTGACATATCAGGGATGGATTAGATCAAAATGCTAAGTCCTACTCCTTCATACATAAGGAATGGATTAACTAAAACAGTTAAATCCTATATGGATGCATGTCCTGTCAACTAAAATAGTTGAACGACATAATGGATATTTGTTTTATCTTTCTGCACTAGGAAGGAATTTATATATATATTTATGGTACCGTGATACGAGCTTGAGTCTCCTGATCACGGTTAGGGTGCGTATATTGCAAAGGTTGGGTAGCTAGATATAGCTAATGTTCCCTGATAGGTCTAGGTACTTGGCTGCTGAAAAGCGTGTTTTATATGTCACCTTCTACTCAGGCTGAACTATGTTATAGGCTAGTGAGCATCCTATAGTGTGTATATATATATATGGACTATTGTAGATATTGCCGAGCTATCAAGGATGTATCTGCGTATCGGGTTTATGTACGGATTGTAGTAGATTGAAACTTACATGTGGGCCTGACCCACTTCTTTTTTTCAGGTATTCGCCAGTACCAGGCTTAGAGTTTGATTGTGTTGATGCAGATACAGACACTCACTCTTCCGGTTACATAGGATTTCCTTTCTATTTTGGTTTTGGATTTTAATTCTGTAAATTTATTTAAAGTTTTGGAATTAGGGGTCCACTAGGTGGATTCCCGAGTTGTACGGATTTAAATTATATTAATTTATTATTTAAGGTTCGAGGATGTTCATTTTAGTTTCTTCCAGCGCATTATTATTTTATTCTTAATTCAGTTTTATTTTTGCTTGGTTACATATTGATTGTTTGGTATCCCTTGGATCTGTACTCGGACTTGATCACCCGTGGCTCTAGAAACTAGGGGTATCACAAAAATGCATCAAATAAAATGCATGAAATGCTAATGGACTCAATTACAATCCCCATACACAACAAGTCCGGTAACGGGTCCCACACGGGTCCGTCTGGCTTGAAAAACTGAAAAATGTAAAAATAATCACCCTTACATTTCAAGGAGTTCTGGATTTAATGAAATGTCCCAAAGAACTCTCAGGCACAACCGGTACACTCCACAGTGTCCGGTACGCAAAACGACAAAAGACGAAAATGCCATTGCTACGACAAAATTTCTGAAAAAATGAAAAATGACAAAAATTTGGAAACATCACATAGTTAATGGACATTTTGGTCACTTTAACCATTTTTATGACAATTTTTATACTTAGGGGAGGTCTTCGCAAAATTAGGCAAACCTTTGGGTGACATTCTGCAAACAAAATGCAAATCTCAAGTTTATTTGCAATTAGGTTAAACCAAAGGGGAGGTCATTGTAGTTTACCTAAAAATATAATAAGTGACACATTTATATTAATTTTTGTAATTTTTATTTATTATTTTTCTATAAATTTAACACACTATCTTGTATTACATAAGATAATATTCCACATCTATGTAAGTTTTTCTAATTTTGATAATAATATTATAATTGCTATTTTTTTTATATAAAAAAGTAAAATAAATAACTCTTTAATTCCTAACTAGCTGTGTTAATTATCTTCCAAAATCAACAAAATTACTAAAATACAGTATAATTTCATTTGTATTGAGTTATATTGTAAAAAGTTGATCCACCAAAAGTTCAAAACTAACATTTATCTTAATAATTTATAAAAGAAAAAAAAAAAAAAAAAAACACGTTTGTTTGTTTTGAATTCTAAAAACGGTGGGGCTGAAAAGAAAAAATATGTTACTATATATATATTATGGATAATAATTTTATTATACTAATTTAAAAAAAAAAAATGTTCTTTTCACTTGTCATGCTATATATTATGAATTGTCTATTATTATTTATTAATTTTGTAAGAAATATAATTATTAAGCATTTTTAATAATCACAACAAATTAATTTATTAAAAATTCATCTTTATCAAATTATATTATAAAAAATGTATTGATATACGATGCAAATTTAGTTACATAGCACGGATCATATCTATAATTAAACGTTTGTCCTCTTATTTCAAAACTTAAAGTGTGAATAGTGTTATATATCCACCAATATATACTCATTAACTTTTTTATTTGGGTGTACTAACATTCATAAGAGGGAACTGTAACTACGTTGGCTATGCGTTTGCACTTGGCACCAGCGCAAACATGTGAATGTATTAACCTAGTCTAATACATCCACGGAGTTAATTAAATATATATTTTTATTAATCTCAAATTATAGTCTTCCAGATGGCTGCTCAAATTGAAGATAGATTGTTCATTTTTCAGTAATCCATGGAATTAATAATATATATTTTTTAGCACCATGGAATTAATAAATAAACTACCTGAGTAATGGAAGTGTGTGAAGGGCGTAATTTTTTTTTCTATAGTCAATTTTAACCCAGTTCAAAATAAATAAATAATAATAATAATAATAATAATAATAATAATAATAATTATTATTATTATTATTATTATTATTATTAGTAGCTCACACAAAAAAATATTAACTCACCTCATCGACAATTTCTAGATTTGCCACTCAAATTATCAAATAATCAAAAGGGCAGTGATGTTTCTGCATCAATAATTCATATTTATAAAGAAGCAGCAGCATACTCTAATATAGTATATTCCACTTCCCTACATGGCATTAGAAAATAAATCGGAAGAAGCACAATTTAATATAACAATAAAACAGAATTTGGGGCTTCATTGATCATAAATAAGTTATTCTGTAGAATGGAAGCCTCGCACACACGCACACTTAAGTTCACGCCCGACCTCAAATCTCTCCCCTCGTTTTTGAGGATACGGAAGTTATACCAACGATCGGCTAGAAGTCACTTGGTAATTCATTACAAGTTTTGCTATATTTCTGTCTTAACCTTCTAGAATGGAAGCCTAATACCATCACCTTGACACCTCTGTAATCTCCACCATGCAAGTCTGCATTATTAATAATTTATTCCTTGCCTCTATTATTTGCTAGCTTGATTGATCTGAGTTGGACTCAGTGATACAAAACAGGCATATTTAAGAGTACGTATATGCTGAATCTCATCACGTGGTCATGAATTATGCATATAACTGTCCTGATGTTATGATGCAAACAATGCAAATTGAAAGAAAAAGACCAAAGGTTGCTGTGATTATAGTTAATGGTAAAAGAGCAGGAAACTCTCATTAACTCTGTTTGGCTGCCAAGAAAACACAAGAAAAATGGGGGATCATACAAGTATTTAGGGGCAATAAGTAGGCAACAAAATTAATCTAGTCATAGCATATAAATAATATGTACAACCTCACTAATCCCTCCTTTGTTGACACCTTAATTACAACTGATAAAACCATGTCAAAGGTGAGGCCAGCCTGAAATTAAGTTCGTTAACAATTTCAGTTATTGTACTCGTATGTGATTATGCAAGAACCGAAGGCTGACTAGCATTGATCTCACCCTTGGGTTTAACACATTCGCCTGTGTTCTGCCCATGTTTCGTTAACTTCACTTCGAAGCATTCAAACATATTCTCCAACTGCGAAATCTCCTCCTCTTCAATATCAATTCCTGGTTCACTCCCGGTGGTGATCCGTTGTTTGAAGCTACGAATTCGTTCGAGGCCAGCTCCAACTTCCGCCACCATTTCCTCCATTGTCCCTCGCATTGCACCATTCTCCTCTTTGGCTTCTCTTAGCTTCCTCTTCATGGATTTATACCCGTCAAGAGACCTTAGTAGTTGCTCTGAGAGTGCCCTGTTCCGCTCTTGCAGGGCTGCGTATACTTGTCCCTGTCTCTCCAATCCGCCGCCACTCTTGTGTTGTGCAGCACACTCGTGTACTCTCTCCAACAATGTCTCGTTCTGCGCTTTGAGGTCATTGATGAGTTCCTCCATTCCAGTTAATTCATGAACCTTTCTGGATAGCTCTGCTGCCATGATCTCCTTCTCCTTTCCCAAGCTAGAACACATGATTTCGAGGCTCTTTCGTGCTGCCAAGCTACCCGCGAGCTTTCTTCTTAACTTTTCCTTCTCATCAGCTATAGGCTCCATGATCCTTTTATCCATTGGGACATTGCTAGACTTAACATCAGTATTGCACCGTCTCAGCTCAGCTTCCTTTTTCAACCCAAAAGACTGACATTTTTGAATTCGGGTTCTAACATTGTCCAGAATGGTCATCATTCCAGCCACCCTTAGCATTCTCCGGCTATCATTCTTCTCTTTTGCACACGCCTCATTGTGATCTTGGATTAATTTTAACAATAATTTTACATTTGCAGCCACACCTAATTAAATAAATAAATAAAAGTCAGGAGTTTTTATTAGGCTGAAATTACCTACCAACAACAATCAATCAATTACTATTAGGCTGCAATCTATGAAATGAAATTTACATAATGACCTTCTCAAAGAATTAAATAAATGAATGGATAAAAAGAAAACATAATACAATTATATCCTTTGAATCTAATCGTTTGAAGCAAACTAGTGCTATAAAAATTCATTTGAAAGAAGAAAAAAAAAAGTATTGACATTAATTCACCTTCTAAACTTGAATGATCACGCCGGTTAGTAGATGTTGAAGAAGGAAGTAAATCGGGAGCCGAATTTGCTCGAATATTACTCATTATTACCAATTGAGAACCAATGATGAAATTTTATGGAGAAAAAAGAAGAAGAAGAAAATCTATAGTTTAAGATACAAAGACCTTTGACGAAATGGAGGGGTAGTGGTGGATGAAGAGGAGGAAACAAAATGAAGATGCTAAATAGTGAAGAAAAATGGTATTTTTTGTATCCTATCAACAATCTATTATTATTCTAAAATGTCAGAGATCCAAAAAAGAGAGAGAATTACTTTTGCAGTCTCTCTCTCTCCTTTTCTTCTCTCTCTGTTTGTCCAAGTCCTTCTGCATTCTATGTAAATATTCTATGTTTTGGTGTTTGTTCATTTCAGAATGGTTGGTTCATGGTAGTTATTTTTACGCAATTATTGGCGATTGTTTGACTTCTTCATGGCAATTTGGTTTATTTGTGACTTTTTTAGACACAAAACAGCTGTAGCCTCATGTGCCCATGCCCATATATACTCCTTCACAATGGAATATGATATATATATATAGTGAGAGATAACCTACCAAAACATGTATATTTGTGTGTATATAGAAAGTGAGGGGATCACATTGCATATGCAATGCATGTGGTCTTTACTTATGTAACACAAAATGTTTTCCTTTTCAAGTGGACTTTGAGTTTGAACACATTTCAATGTCCCTTTTGCGCCTATAAAACAGCTGGGGTGTGTACCAAATACTATAATTTATCAATTTAAAGATCAGCTTATACAAATTAAGAATTTTTATACTTTAAGTCGATCCTTAATGCTTTCTGAAGTTGATTTTTGAAATCTGTTATTGTGTATTAAAACGGTATCGTTTTTAATACACATATTTTAAGACTCTATAGAAGTCGCATTTGCTTAGAGTTGTGCACCGTTTTGATGCACAAAGTAGCACAAGCCCCCTCCATACAGAAGGAACTCCAGATTTTAATTTTAGGAGATTTATTGAGATTCTAATTATTTGTATCGATATATTTTTTTCATTCTAGTAACCTGTAATTTATAACAATCAACATAAGTTTTACTTTTTCATTTACATTTTTGTAAATAATTGCATGAAAACTTTCATTTCAAGTGTATATTTATCATATATTCTGATCCCTAATTAATGGTACTTCTTAAGGGAATTTGATTTATTTGTGTTGTTACTTCATGTTTTTTCATTTCGAGTAAGATGCACATGCCTTGCATGTGTATCGATTCCTTGTGTAAATTAAGTTTACTAAAGTATGCATGTTCTTGAATCACAGATTTAAGTTGGCAATCACTTCTTTTAGTTTATTTACATGCTTTTTGTTCACTTTGATTTCGAGATATTCCCACACGTCTCTATAAAAATAGAAAAAGAATAAGTGAAAGAATTGACAAATCATTACCAACAATGTAGAAAACTTAATATTATGGTTGTTTTAACTTCTTTTCAAGCTATGATAGAAGATTACAGTAAAAAATATACATATTATTTTTATTTTTTCCGGTAATTAGGGTGTCTGGGCTTTGCCCTACGAATCTACGAAATCCATATAAATAATACATATGGTGTGGGGGTTAGGAGAACGCCCGAGCGGACAAGAAAATGAGACAAAAAAGAGGGCATATCGCACCCAAGAGCCCAAAAGAAGGGGATGCTTCAACGGAGGGTATAGAAGAAAGATTTCATGATTTCAAAAGTGAGGCAACAAATGTATCGAACTGTTCATGAACAATGACTAGTTTAAACCTCAATTTGAGCTTATTTATTAAGCAAACAAGGAACACAATTGTTTATTAAACAAGCCAATATTGAACGAAGTGTTCATGAATAAGGTACTATTTTTTTTTTTTGTTGGGTAAATCAATTTCATTTAAAAAAAAAAAAAACTGTACAAAGCAACACAAGGCCAAAAACATCAAGGCCGAAGGTAACATAAAAAATTAGCCCAACCCATTCACTACATCCATCTATAGATCGCTGAACCAGCATCATACTCAGATGAAAACAAAGCTGGGGCAACCATCAACGAGAACGAAGGAAGAACAAAGGACAGATAGTTACTGTTGTTGATTCTATTCTATTAGTTTATCAATAATTGTTTTGGACAGAAAAAATAATATTCGTAATAATAAACATAAAGATAATATTATTTTTTTTCGTGACATTATGTTTTTTTATTTTAAATTTTCATTCCTCACCATTGTTTAAACACCATGCGTAACATTATTGTTCTTATCATCTATTCTTTAAACATTTATAACACATTTTGAAAACTTAAAATTGTCTATTTTTTATTGTATTTGTTTACATTTAGTTCCATTGAAAATTGTCTATTTCTTTATCGTTCTTCTATTGTACGACTCCCACCACACTGTTTTAGCCCAACCCATTCACCGCATCCATCTATAGATCGCTGAACCAGCATCATACTCAGATGAAAACAAAGCTGGGGCAACCATCAAGAACGAAGGAAGAACAAAGGACAGATAGTTATTGTTGTTGATTCTATTCTATTAGTTTATCAATAATTGTTTTGGACAGAAAAAATAATATTCGTAATAATAAACATAAAGATAATATTATTTTTTTTCGTGACATTATGTTTTTTTTATTTTAAATTTTCATTCCTCACCATTGTTTAAACACCTGCGTAACATCATTGTTCTTATCCTCTATTCTTTAAACATCTATAACACAACTTAAAATTGTCTATTTTTTACAATGTCTGTTTACATGTAGTTGCGGTGAAAATTGTCTATTTCTTTATCGTTCTTCTATTCAACGACTCCTACCACATTGTTTTAATTACCATGTACTGTTTGTATACCAGATTGTAAAGTACTGGATCTTATTGTTTAATATACCGTATATAACGTTGTGAAATGCATGAATAGATTGTATTATGAATCATGCCAGCGTTCGCTTAACACGGACGAATTGAGAGGAATATTATCATACTATTTATAAGCAATTTACCAACAAAATTTTGCAATTTTCTAAATAATTTAATACTTTTTATAAATATTTATAACGTTTTTAAAGTTTTAGAGAGTCTTCAACTCTCCCTACAATCCTCACAATCTCTACATCAATCTAAAAGATACTATAATTTTATTATGTTATGGTTCTAATATTTGTATTATAGAAGATTGTAGAACTAGCAAAAGGTGTTTTGCTTAATGGTACAATCCCGACTTCGAAGGAGAGAGGAATTCGAGCCTTGAGAAAATAATAATAATAATAATTAAGCAAGGACCATAAACATGCATTATGCAGTTCATGAAAATAAACAAGCTAATATTTTACATCATGTGTCTTTCGCCTTTGGCCTTTGGCATGTTTTATGTTCATGAACATAAGCATTAGGTTATATAATATAATATAAGTAATCTCGTGGTTTTTAATGTGACTTTCCAGGATTTATATTACAGTATATATTTAGGGTAAGTTTTATGAAAGGGGATTATACTAATGAGATTGATAAGTAAGCTTTTTAAGTAACTAATTGGAAATGTTTATTAGTACGTAACTTTATGAACACAAACTCAAATGGAGCTTGAGCACCCCAAATATGATTTTAAGCTCGGTTTATTTTATTAAGTAAGGTAAAGCTTTTTAAAATTGTGATCGGTGGAGCCTGAGCTCTTGAATTAACTCGATTTCAGTTCATAAGTGGGTAAGTTTCAAAACAATCTAAAGATCGTTAAATTAACTTGGTTCATTTGTAAAAGAGCATAGAGTTATGCCTCAATATATGACTATATATAAGAGGAATAATAATAATAATAATAATAAAATTAACAAACATTCGATTGTTGGGTGTCTTACAAAGCTGTGAGGCGCACAACAGCTGTTGTGGTGTGGACTCCATGCTTTTACAATAGAGTACAGAGTGGAAAACAAAATGCAAAGACTATATATAATGGTAAATTACACAAATGGACCTATTTACCACTAAATAATATACAACATACAGCTAAAACTATCTTTCCCAAGACATATTTTACTCTGGAGGCCCAATTCTACTTTTAATTGGCATAGTGGGCTTCCAGGTAAAAAAAAAAAAAAAAAAAAAAAACAATGGGCTTCTTAGCCCAATGGTAGCCTTCTGTTGTCCTTTTTCCAAGTCCATAATAGAAGTTCAAGCCCCACCAAGATAGTCCCTACATATATATATGAATAGATCGAGAGAGGAAGACGAGTGAAGATGTGAAAACACATTTGACTTCTTAATTCTTAGTTATATAAGACACTCGAATTTTATAATTAAATTTTAAAGTTAAATATTACATTTTATACAAATTAGAAGTTTTCGTTTTTTTTTTTAACTTAAATTGAGTATATTGTATTTTAGAGATAAACTCCTATGTTAGTTTGGTTTTTATGTATCTTAGACCCCTAGAATGGATATTAGTAATATGTAAATTAATGTGATGAACATATAATTATGTGAACGGAGCTTATATTAGCCTCAGTCAATTTTGTGTCACGATTCATTTTTAAAAAAATACTAATTTTTTTTATTAAAATCAAATAATAATTAATAAATAAATAAATAAAATACTACTTTACTGCATTATTGACTAGGTCGTCTGTTAATTCTAACCTAATCTAAACATCCACACGCGTACACGATATATGTGTGTGTGTGTGTGTGTATATATATATATAGTGGTAGAAGTAGTAAATGTATAGGCCTGTAAAGACTATGAAATTAAGCAGGCCTATATCATCTAGTAATGTGTAAGTTTTCAGAGTACACAGAGCTAGCTAGCAGGGCCACGTAAGGCTAGAATATATATAGGCACAACTTACGTTGCATTCAAAATCTAAATTCTCACGTCCATTTCTAAATTACCAGTGCTCATCACTATTGCTGTGTTCAAGTTGAGTGTTGAGTTTTGCTAGAAGAATATTTTGAGTGATTGTGTGTCTTTGCTAGTAAGTTTCAAGAGAAAATAAATATATAAATATATATATATATATATATATATATATATATACACACACATATATGATGTAGTGTGGTGTAT